GGATGGGAGATCTAACAGGGAGACCAAAGCTGCCATTGTATCTGCTGGTGGGAATACAAGGCCTCCATCAGCAGCTTGAAGTGTGATTTTTTTATTCCCCAGATTGCCAACTAAATTTACATCAACACTCCATTGTGCATGGAATGTGTCAATTCACAGTTGGGCATTTGATTGCCTATGATTTAGGCTCTCTAAAACTAGATAGCATATGATTTTAGGGGTTTTAATCATCAGTTCTCTAAAACTAGAACTGTCCAATGATTTTGATTGTTTAAAGATACTCTATTTTATTCAGTCATGAAATTTTAAAAAATAAAGGCTTTATATTTTCAACATTCTAAAATCTGATTTATTTAAAGTTTTGATAAACAATTTAGGATTTTAGTCTACAACATATGACACAAAATTCATGAAATAACTCTATTTTTTAATAAAATATTTACTATTTTATCCTTCCATGTAAATTAAGCCTTAAAAAAATCTACTTTTAAGCATTTTTAATTGAATATGTTTAACTTTCTGACAAAAGGTTGAGGGTTTAAGTCTATAGCTTGTGAGAGCCTCTAGGTTGATGATAAGTCTTTATTATCATGAGTTAATAATTAGTAAATAATATAGTTTTAGTCTTAACTCATGATAAATAAACTGATATTTGTGTTAAAGTGTGAAAAGTAGTTTTTAGCTGATTAACGTGAATTTTTGGTCAATTATGTGATTTTATATGAATTTATATAATTTTTACAGTCTTACTTTTGAGAGAAATGAAGAAAAAAATAAAAATAAAAATAAAAATATTGCAAAATGGAGGGTACTTGCTGCTAGTCGAGCCCACAAGCAGGTCAAAAGCACAGTTGAAGAGCAGCTGCAAGTAGGGGCTCGAGTGACTAAGACCGATAGGGGCACAAGTGTGTCACTCCCCTTCCACGTCACTGGTGGCTAGCTAGTTGTGGGACAAGGAGTAGTTGTACATGCGGGAGAAAGAGACTTGCTTGCAAATGTAATATTATTATATATTCGCTTGAAACTTTGGCGCACAAGTGATATGGGATTAAACTCATGTCACACCTTCCTCCGAAAGGGTTCGATGATTTTAAATACCTATAATAGCCCTTATTTATAATAGAGATATACTATGATGACATCATTTTATAAGAGCATTAGAGTACTTATTTCAATTTCTCTCATATAGGCAGGCAACCGATGCGGGTTTGAATCCTCCTAGAGTCAAAGCTCATATTTTTATTTGATTATTGTGACTTTCCTGATCGTCAGTGAAGGATTAAGCCGTTAGAATCGCTAGATTATTGACAAAAATCTCGTCAACGTGATTCACGGAATATTGTTACTAAAATTACTGAACGATTCGTAATAAAAGGATCGCAAATCTATCAAGTAAATGATCTCCGATTGATCGACGAACAAGTCGTTGCCGAGAAGAGGATGATCCGCCAAGAGACAAGTCGCCACCTCTTGAGAGTGTACCAAATGCGATGAAGAGCCTCCTCTTATTGCACGGACCTGAGGATTATTGTTTTATATTTTATAAAGGATGCCTCCTCTTGAGAGTGTACTAGAAATGAGCTTCATCCTTTATTGTTCTGGCCTGAACATCCTTTTTAATGGTAGCTTCAATTAAAAAATGTTCATCTATTTTATATTTTTATATCTTATTTTTATTTTTCATTTCTATAGAAGGTTTCTTCACCTCGTTTTCCAATGAATGAGGCAAACATACTTTTCTCTCTAGTTATGTGACTTCATCATCCATTCTCAAGGTAATATGGTACTTCTTCCACCTGAAGAGACCCCTAAAATAAATAAGATTTAATTGAAAATAAGGATCTAGACATAATCTACATTTTAATTTCTAAATATCTTTAAAATTTTCTGAGGAACCTATAGTTGTCTATTTTTTTTGTTTCATTAGGACCCTCCTATTTTCTCTTAGATTATATTTTCTTAAAGTTTACCTAAATGATCTTTGTTATCCTATAAAAAGGTTAGGATTATTTAACATTAATTAACTAGGGTTGAAGCTTTCTAACTGGACATGTATAAACAAGAATGTTTTTATTCATTTCATGATTTGTTCACAATGGAATATGATGAGTAAATACGATATGTTTGTCAACTTTCATTTCTCTATACTATAGTCTTCTAGAAAATATGTTTCATTGCCATGTAATTTTAATATCTTACTTTTTCTCTACTTGTATGCTCTTGTTAGAAAATAATTTCCTTGTTTTCCTTTTCCTTTGTCTATTGTTTTCTCTCTACTACCAGACTTTTTAATACATATATCTCTTTGTGTTTCTGGTTCTGACTTCAACTGAATATTTTCATTGGATAGTTCTACTATTTGGTAGTTTTCATTGCTACGTATTTTTGATTGTTGTATAATTATTCAAACATTGTCCTCATTTGTTCCTTTAACTGTGATTTAGTTTGTATATTTTTTATGACTTGCTTTCCCGTTTATAAGAGCATTTTGAAATTCAGAAAGTAATTCTAAAAATTATTTTATTGAAGTTTCTTCATCATATGAATCATTTACCTCTAGTTCAATGGAGATGTATGTCTTCCTTGCCTTCTTCATTTGATTTCAATGAAGAATTGCCTTTATCACACCATGTAGCCACCAATGATTTTTTCTCCTCTCCTAAGTCTTCAAAATCATATATAATTAAGCTATGAGGGTTCCTTACAGATCATTAGAAGACAATTTTGTAGAATTTTTAACCTCCTCAGTTGTCATGAGTAACTTGTAATTTATCCTAAACATATTGATAATTAAGACTATTAATTTCCTTAGCATCTAACCCTCTAACCAATAAATTTTTAACTCTAGTACTTATGGATAATATTTCCTTTTTTGCTTTATAGCTACGTCTTTATTTATTTCTAATGGTCGATCCATGATAATATGTCATAGTTGATAATCTAATCCTTTGGTGAAAGTCTTCATCCTATTCTTCCACAAGACATAATTCAAAATGTTGAATAATGATGGTTTGTAGAGTTAAAAATCACTATGGAATACCAACCAAATAGTAGGGTTTTGATATAGAGGATGATACTTTATACTTTAATTTTTTTTGTCCTCTTCAACTAAAGATGTTAATTAAACATAAAAGGCATTTTCTCTGTAATTTGGTCAAGGATGACATTTGAATGCTTGAATAAAACTTCTCAACTTTGTGACTTCACACAAGTTGACCAATTAGCAAAGACCTTATGATTTTTCATAGATTTTTGCAAAGAAAGACAAATTACAAATCTTGAGATTGTGAAGGGATTATAATGTTTTTAGATCTAACTATCTCTCCTATTTTTGTCATCTCATAATGGTTATATTTTCAGAAATAATTCAAAATTTCAACAACTGAAAAACCAATATGATATGTATTTATGTTTGAATATCCTTATGAGAGACCAACACATGATTATTATAAAGATGAATATATATATATATATATATATTAGTATCGTATTTGATTCAGTCAAGATCAGTTAAGATATGATCTCATTAATGCACGGCCAACAATATATATCAAGATAATATGGTTGTTTATAAATCAAATCTTATTAGAATCACCTCAAATAAAATATGATTATTAAGTTAACTTCTTGAGCTATGATCACAATATTTAAATATTTTTTTTGATGATTGAAAATACCTAAAATAATTTTCCAAAGTATTTTTCTTAATATCTAAAACAATCTTGTTCATAGTCGTAATTCAATCAATTATTTTGATTTCAAAATCATTCAAAAGTAATAATCTAAGATCATGAGTACTAGACTAAGTAATTCATTTTGATTTGAATGTGTTAATCACTACTATGTCAGTATAGTATATTCTATAAATATTGATATTTTTATAATAATATATAACATGCAATTTTATATAATAATAAATCAAATATACACATTTAATATTATTAGTAGAAGTATGTTCAATAAATTTTTATTTGAACATTTGACATTATTATATTAAAACTTTTAAGAGTACATGGGTATTTAGGGTCATATGAAATAAATATTTCAGATTAGACATAATTTAATATCTTATGAATATTTAGTGTTATCAAAATATCATATATTTAATACTCCAACACTGCCTACCTTCAGCAACCCTTTACTGACGACTTACACCCACCTCCGTTGATACCAGCACTTTAACAAGTGCCATACTCACTAATTGGTCATCCTAATGGCTATTGCTCATAGAGGAGACTCTCTCTCTCTCTCTCTCTCTCTCTCTATCTCTCTCTCCGTCCCTCTTTGTCTGCTTGCTGTCTCTCTCTCTCGTTCACTTGGTTCACCCACAAGAGCGACGACGGAACTTCTTTGTGAATCGGATCTCCACTCCACAATTCTCTGGTGTGTGTGTGTGTGTGTGTGTGTGTGTGTGTGTGTGTGTGTGTGTGTGTGTGTGTATGTGCGAGGGTCGGGTGGGGGCTCACCAGCGCCTCTGGAGAGTCTCCTCCCAACGGCCTCGTCTTTCTGGGCTTCTACACAAATCGGCGTACGAGGAAGGATCATCGCCTGTACGTACGTAAGTAAACCAACCGGCGTCGATCATCATGGGCCCGGCCCAAACTTCAGCTTCCGTCCAGGCCCATTGGTCAATTTCCGCTCCCAAAAACCATTGGAAAATAATAAAATCAGGGCCAAGGTCCGAAGCGAATAAAATCTCTTAAATTTTGAAACAAAAGGGAGGATAAATGTCGGGCACTTCCATCCAGAAGGCCATCAGATAAACTGTGGGCATGATTGCCTAGATTTTACATGCCTTCGAGTACAAATGGAGACAGAATATGAGATGGATCAAAACTCAGTCGTATCTAAAAACGGGCCGGGCCGGGCATAGCCTTCGATCCTTAATTTACTACTAATAACACTGATTAGCGCGCGAAAACCTCTGTCTGAACGTTGACTGAGAGGCGAGAGTCCCCGGCGAGGAAGAAGCTTGCGACGGTGGTCTTCTGTCTCCGAGCTTAGATGGGAATGGCACCTGCAACGGAGGGATAGACGACGGTGGCGGGATGGCCCATTATCCGGCGGCCCTTTCCCTTCCGGAAAAGAAACACCACCGCCCCCACCGGCCACTCGATCGCCGCGGCCACCAGGAAGGCCAGGAATCCCAGCGTCGGGCCTACCACCCTGCACCGGCAGGGGTTCCTCGTCGTCCCGCACTCCACACACGCCGGGAACATGATGGCGATCAGCGAGGAGCGAACCAGAGAGAGAGAGAGAGAGAGAGAGAGAGTGGAGAGATGGCAATGGAGAACCAGATAAGCTTCAAAAGTAGGGTATTTATCGGGGAGAGAGGAGGGCGTGGGAACGGCGAATGGCCGGGGCACGCTCAAGGTGGAAGACCAAGGAGGCGGAAACCGTACATTGGATGGAGGACACGTGCAACTCTCCTAGCGAAGAGCTGACAGCTGCCCGCCACGCGTCTCGTAGCGCCGACATGAATTAGATGAGTCTCATTTTTTACAGCAAAGCTATTCTCAGTGGCATCACGCCCTTCTCCGCGGTGGGCCCATTCGAATAATAAAGATGAAGATAACGATGAATATATGGAATAAATTAAAAAGAATATTGTACAGGAAGCCATTTACATATAATAAGTTCTCAAGAAAAAATAATATTTTGGCTCGTAATTACCACTTTCATGTCATAATGTTTAACCTTTGCCCAAATAAATATCATATTTAAATATCTATATTTTCCAATATAATTGGGTCGCAACGTCCATGGTACACACGCAAGAATGTGCTGAGCAGCTCCACGTTATTCACAAGGAAGACGCCGTGCTTCTTTGATGACGTGGCATCCTCTAATTCGGACGCCGATGAAGGCAAAACGTGGGAAATGTTTCGGCTCCCCCAGGCCCGCTTACACGTCCGGGTTACCACCGTGTTCCGAGAGGTTTTCGTCGGCGTCAAAGGTACCCTGGAAAGGCATTGCTTTCTCTTCAGGTTTATTTATAATGCGCCGGAAGGACAGTGGATCGCCCCTCAAACTTGACAACCCACCCCAGTCGGAGGGTAATAAGCCCATTTTCTTCTCCTTTCTGCTGTCCAGCTCATCCCCTCTACCACCTCCTCACCGGACGAGATCCTCCGCCACCGGCGGCGCCGCCCGTCCCGACCCAGCATGAGGCGGTCGCCCTCTTTCAGTGACCCAAAACTGTGGAAGGCACCAGATCCAGCTCGCTGTGTCAGTAGCGAGCATGGGGCGGGGCTCTGAGGACGGCAGATTCGGCCGGAGGAGCCGCTCCTCAGGCTCCTATGCTTGAGGACGTAAAAAGCCTCCTCTCCCGTCTCCTGTTCCGGATAATCTCTCCAACGCTTGCTGGAGAAGGGCCTGCTCTGGCGCTTGTTGATCGACATTTGGTTGGAGTGGGGTCCGGAAGGGGGAAGTCTTGAAGTTAAAGGTTGCTTCCTTTGTTCGACGTCAAAAGAAAACCGGAGTGGCAACTTACCACAATCTACTGAGTTGACCCGAGGTTGTGGAGTCGGTCAAGACGTGGAACATGAGACGTGTGATAGGTGCCCCAATTGAGACACCAATGGAAAGGAGGGAACGGAATGGAATTGGCAGTGAAATCTTATTCGACTATGCGACTAGAGACTATAGGACTTCAAAAGAAGACTCACAGGACTCTTAGGTGAAAGAAGGTAAGGGTGACACGGGGTGACAAGGATAAATGACAGAGAAAACAGGAAGATAGATGATGGAGCCGCTCAAGAACCTTCGGTTGGCTGATTCAAGATAGCCACTTTCCTCTCTCCACTCAGGAAGCCCGGAAAATACTCGATGCCCACTGTCTTCATCTTCTGTCTTTTTAAAGGTCTTAATCCTCATTGATGGGCGAACGGTCCAACTGTCCTCCCACAGCTGTTAGGCTATTATCCTCCATTTCACTCCTTAAAGACTCTAATTCATTGGTTTTAGGCCAAGTGTTATCTCGAACTTGAACCGGATCTAGTTGTCTGTTATTGACCCAAGCCATTAAATGATTGTTAGGGTGAAACAGCTATATACCAGTTATTCTCTTGCCACGTGGGTGGAGGCTAGTGGCCAGGGTCTCAACATTTACTTCCCCCCAAGAGTCTTACCCAAGTGGACTCTTCAGATGCAGCACCTTGCCATTGGATTTGAACCTCTAGTCTACAGGGTGTATGTCGAATTGCCAATACCTAGGCAGGGTTGTGGTCCATTGATAGTCTTTGTTCAACTATAAGGGGCTGATTGGGCTTGAGAGGTTGTGGGGAATGGCCCACTTCAATTGAGAAATGTGGAAAACATTGTGAATACAGGTTGATGCAAGGTGGTCGAGTTGATATGCCACCAGCCCAGTATGTTAAAGAACCATGTATGGCCCAAAGAACCTTGGTTCCAACTTCTCATAAGGCCTTCGGGCAAGGAAAGTTTGCTGATACAGTTGCAGCCGGAGATACACTTGATTGCTGACTTCAAATTCAAGTTCTCGATAATTACAGTTGACATATTCTTCATTCGAGCTTGAGCCTTAAGTTTTTTTTTTTAAATTAATTGACTATCTCCTCCCAATCACACAACAGCTGATTGACTTCACTATTGGCCGGTGACTGATCTCAGTACCACATCAGGTCAGTGGGTCTCAACCAAAAGGAGCACTCGCTCTGAACAGAGTAGATCCCTCCTGTGTCAAGAAATCTGGCCGTGTGGCTATTTCAACCAACGTCGGCCACCAGTCTCTGTCTGCATGAGGACAATGCCAAAAGAAACTGGGAGGTTTCTTCTATTGAAATGTCGGTTTTACAGATAGTGTATTCGTATCGGTAACGAAAGGAGGGAGGGAGAGAAACAGAAATAGGGGAGGGGGAGGGAGGCACAGAGAGAAAGAGAATGAGAAAGGAGAGAGCATAATGGGGAGAGAGATTGGTATGCTTGGATTTTTTGCTGATTCAGCTCCCCCTTATAGCAGCAGTCATCTCTCCTGCGAAGCCAACAGGGGTTTCGTCTGGACACAGTATATGTTGAATATATGATCAATGACAAAAACATTGATTACACGAAAGGACAGTTGAAAGATTAGTCTCTGTCTGTCTGTCTGTCTCTCTCTCTCTCTCACTCTGTCTCTCTCTTTCTCTCTCTCTCTTGTGTTTTTCTCTCTTCCTCTGAGCAGGTTCCATGGTAAGCATACTTTAAAGGGGGATGATTCATGAAGGCGCTGTAAGGTCACTGGCCCTTTTTATAAAGACATATCTTGCGAGCAATCCATCTGTAATTATGGTGAGAGGTGCCATTTCCTGCCTACAGTCATGTTGTGAGGATCCTCTGAGATTCACTGACAACGAGTTGGAGCCACAATCCTTAGTTTGCTGAGGTTCTGCCGAGAATGTAAATCTCTGGCAGTGGATCGATTCTCACGGCTCTAAGTTCGTATTGTCTACTGATTATTTCGGAGTTCCTAGGTAGTAATCCATCTTCGTCTCTCTAAATCCTTGGTTTTCTTTAGCTCATGGTCGGTCTCATGTGAGCCCTTTCAGATGTGGGCATGAGATAGATTGATAGATAGATAAAGAGAGAGAGCGAGAAAGAGCGAGAAAGCGAGAGAGAGAGAAAGAGAGAGATAGAGAGAGAAAGAGTGAGAAAGAGAGAGTCGTGGCCAAGAAAAAGCTATGCAAACTGCACCGGATCCATAAGTGAATTAGAGCCACTGGGTTTTTGTATCGTTGGAGTAGGGATGGAAAGCGCGTTTCCGATGTGACACGAACTGGTCGGTAAACCGTGAACGTACAGGAACAAGTGCGCGTCTCTTTATGAAGCGAGATTCCGCCGAGTGGGGATCCCGACGGCGAGGAGAGCAATGCCACTTACTTGTCAGTGGCTTATAAATCATAAGTTAGCATGCAGGTAATAGATATAGTGAGAATAAAATACCACCATACACAACACAAGAAATCTGTGGCATACCTCACCCCATATTCTATTCATAAATAGTCCTTAGAATAAAACTGTGTTGTATTAATTTGTTCATAAAATACCAATGGAGTACTGAGAAATCTTACCTTAAATTCAGAAGTATATGCATGCACTGTCTTTAAAAAAGTTGATTCGTTTGAATTCAGGCACATTTTTTTCTTTAAAGTTCCATCAAACAAGCCAACGAAGAACTGTAACAAGATAGCTCATACAAGTTCATATTCTTACTTCCAACAAAAATTCTCACAATCCACATCAAAAATGATAAAGTTTTTTCTTTTCCCAAACTTTTTTCAAAAGGCCAACAAAAATGACAAGTAGAAAACAATCCGCACCCATCCCCCTCTCCTAACCCCAGTGCAACATGAACACAGATGAAATTGTCTGACACTCCGACCTAATGCACCTCAATGGAGAGTGGTATCAGCAGTCACTCAGCTAATGATGACCCTCCAGTCTTTTCCACCCGATTTTTTTTTTCTTGTGCATATTACTCAAAAAACGAAATAACCATCAGAATGTAACCATTGCCAACCATCATCTGTAGTTGTCCATAATTTAATGGTTCTACCTGCTTAATTTGTTGATCATATCATCATGTTATAATTAAAAGCTACAAGACAGAATGTGATTATTGGTCTCCATTAGCCTGTTAGAAGGCAACTGTTCATATGATTACCTTCCAACGTGCATTTTTTTATTAAAGTTGACATGCTGACAGCAGGGATGTTAGTGACACTGCAGGCTGTGTTGCCACCACTTTGTCAACTGTGACTTCGAAAGAACACCTCTGTTTATCTCTCTCTCTCTCTCTCTTTGTATCTGTCTATCTATTTATCTCTCTCTCTCTCTCTCTCTCTCTCTCTCTCTCTCTCTCTCTCTCTCTCTCTCTCTCTCTCTCTCTCTCTCTCTCTCTCTCTCGCTCTTTGTATCTGTCTATCTATTTATCTCTCTCCCTCTCTCTCTCTCTCTATCTGTCTATCTATCTATTCATCTATCTAGAGCTCAGTGACGACATACGCCAGTAAAGGAAATGAGACCATGGCTGGGAAGAGCGGAACGATTCTCCTGACCGAAACCCAACTTCAAAGGCAACGATATGTTGCCACTCGTTAATTTGCATTCGTAGGTTTCCTCTTTGTTCCACTCGCATTTGCCAATATTTACATTCTCGCGGATAGGATAAGTTGCAAGGGGGAAAGAAGAGCCAATTATAACGATCCTACCCTTCGGCAGTTGAGTTTTCAAGAGATTTGTCGTTCAGTCCCCTCTCTCTAGGTTTCTCCTCTCACTTGCTCACTCTCGCTCTCTCCCTCTCTATAGGTTTCTCCTCCCGACTTCTAGACTACTTCGCCGACAGATCTCCTCACCTCTCTCTCTCTCCCTCTGTCCTTTTGCTCTAATTGCGGTAGAACGATAGTAGGTATCCCACGTGTTTAATGCGAGCATTAAATGTGGCAGCCTCGAAAAAGGCAAGCCACAATAAACGACAGGGTTCACATGGCACTCAGCTTGCGCTAAAGCAAACTGAAGATGTTGAGGCTCAAAGATGAACTCTCACTACCTAAGAACTCAAAATATGGAGCTCTGAGAATCCATCTGCGTCCAGCAATCTATAGCGACGGACCAAGGCTTGTGGCACCGACTCGTGCTCGATGAATGTCAGCTGACCTTAACCACATCAAATTAGACAGCAAATGGCACCTTACATCACACTCAGAGGATTGCTCGCAAGAGATGTCTTTCTAAAAGGGATTGACCAGTGACCTTACAGTACCTTCATGAACCCGGATGTAAGTATTGTAATGCGCTGACTTCAGCCGGGTAGAGAAACCCGAATGGCTAGGGTTTCCCCTTCTGTGCGCGGAGCTCCGCCGCCGTGATGAAGAGGCCGTGGAAACCGTAGGGCACCCGTCGCGGTAAGGACACCTCGGCGACCACCTGCAGGTCCGGCGACCTCGCGTCCATCACGAGGAAACTCGACTCCCCCGTGTTCTCGTCGTGCAAGTACGTCACCAGGTACCCATCGTCCTCCTCCTCGCCCTCATCCGGCGCAGGCACGAAGATTGGCTCGCCGCCGAACCTCCGGGGACCGTACATTCGTGACGCGGTCACGCAGTCAACGCCCTTCTTCACCATGTCTAGCTTCACCACCCCAGCCACCATCGGCTGCGGGCTCCCCACGCCGAGGTACGCGTAGCGGTTTCGGCGGCCCAGGTAGCAAGGGTTGATCACGCCGAAGTCGAGGTTTCCTGCAGAAAGTGGGGTCCGGGACACGGCCCCGGTCCTGAGGTCGATCCTAACCATCTCCACACAGCAGTGAACCAGCTCCATCCTGTCCAGCGCATGCTCCAGGGACAGCACGTTGGGCGCCACCAGTACCACGGTGTCGCCGCCGTCATCCTCCCACGCGTTGATGGTGTGCACCGGATTGAATCCGGGCACGTCGAACCACCTAATGTCACTGTCTGACGCCGCGTACCGCGGTAGTATACCGACCCTGGGCACCTTCCTAGCGTCGGTACCAAAGGGAAACCCACTACCGAGCACCATCTGTAACGTCTCCATTACGATCTGCATGTCGCAGAAGATGGCATACTTCTCGGTGATGGCGAAGTCGTGGAGGTAGGAGGGGTGCCTGACGGAGAAGATCGGCACGTCCGGCTGCTTCTTTCCTTCGCCGTCGAAACGGAAGTAGGTGACGAAGGGAGGTACCGGGCAGCAACGGAATGCGAAAACCTCGCCGGTGATGGGGTCCTTCTTGGGATGGGCTGTCATGCCCATGGAGAGTTTGCCCCCGAAGTCCCACCTGCCGATGGTGGGGTTATATTTGTAGCAGGTTGATCAGACGAGGAAGGCTGATTTGCCTTGGAGGTTTCCCTCTTCATCTTGTTTTGAAGCTTGTAACATCTTGTTTTAATGTGACCCTTCTTCTTGCAATAATTCCAAGTTTTGTCAGGATGGTGTGACCTAGATCAACCTCTTGAAGTATTTTTCTATCTCTCAAGATCACGTCTTCGGATGACAAGGCCTTCAGCTTGAGACAATGTAGTCATCTTTGAGAACTTGCATATGATTTCCTTGGATGAGAGAGCTTCATAAATACTCTCAAGGGATAGACCTTTAGACCCATAAAATAGAATATCCCAAAAGCCTGAAAAAGATGATGGTAGAGACATAAGAAGTAGGGAGCAAAGATCCTATTCAATTAACATATTTACATCAAGAGCTTCAAGTTATGTCATAATATCCTTAAAAGTGGCTAAATGGGATTCCAAAGAAGTACCTTCCATCATCTGTAGATTGAATAGTCGTTGCTTGACAAGATTTCGTCGGGTGACAATTTTAACCATACATATCTCGTCAAGCCTTGACCATAACTTATGAGCTTTTGTCTCCTTTTGAACGTCCCTAATGATGTCATTTGTGAGATGAAGTTGTATTTGAGTTAGAGCCTTTTGATTTACCATTTTCTTATGATCCTCAGTCCATGAAGCAGGTATCGTTGGAAAAAGAGCATCTTCTAGATCTAGTTGCATAAGAACTGCCTTCATCTTGACTTGCCATAGCGTGAAGTTTGTCTTTTTGTCGAGCTGAAGAAGTTCCACCTTCGTCGATGCCATTAAACCTTCCACAAAGTAGTTCTGATACCAATTTGTTACAAAAGCCAAATGATGGCGGAAAGGTTGACAGAAGCATGCGAACAAAGACAAAGGAAATCCCCAAAGAAAAATACTCAACTAAAATAAACCTCTCAATGGGAGAGAGTCTACAACAAAACTAGAGAATAGACAACGAAAGTAAAACGCAGAATAAGATCAAGAAGGAAGAAGAGTAAAAAGTGGCAATGCCAATTCGTGTGCCTTCTACTCTATTTGTAACTGTCAAGATCAGTGTCAAAGATGGAAACTTCCCGTCCTTTGCTCCGATGATGGCACTCTATAGGAAACGGTCAAATTTGACCAAGTTTAACAGTTATCGCTGCAGCATGTGTAAGGGACGGTCTGGTTCTTCTTGGCTTCCTTGCATGTTTGACCGCCGATGGACCAGTCAAGAACAATAGGCAGAGTTTGTGTTTCTAATCTGTCAAAGCTCAGATCAGAGACACTGAAAGTGTATTGACCCTGCCCAGCCAGGGAAATGAATCCACAATGATTGAAATCCATGGAATAATTGTATGCGTAGTAGGTGCCATATCAATGGTATAGTTATTGATGCCCCTGGGAATTGAGACCTCGCAGCTGCTGCCATTCGGTATGTCCCTGAAGCTTTCCAAGCTCTCGCAGTAGGACATGCAGGCACTGCAGTAGCGCGTGCCGTGTTGGTCCCATATGTAAGCATCCGTGTCGCACCCGACGACGACAAACTATTTCCGGGTGTGCGATAACGTAAACGGTAGACTGGTAACATCAACCTGCGGGACGGAGTAATTATTGTTTCCTTTTCTATCATAGCAGTCGAACTTGATGCGGAGTCTTTCTCGCTCTCTCTCTCTCTCTTTCTCTCAGTTTATCTATCTATTTATCTCTCTGTGTTTCTCTCTCTATCCTTTCATCTCTGTCTGTCTGTCTGTCTCTCTCTCTCTCTCTCTCTCTCTCTCTCTCTCTGTCTAAAGGACGGACACTCCATGGTAAAAAGCAACACTCAAACTAATCAGGAGACCGTCCTAGTCATTACTTAGAGCGGCAGCCTCTGGGAGTCCATCGGGAGCCAACGATGAGCCTAGCTTCCGACAGCGAAAGCCCAATAACTCGACTCCTCGGCGACCTTTTCAACCGAGGTCCAGTTGACTTTACTCTTCTTGACTTGGAAAGCCCACGCCAACTTGGTGCTCTCGCCATCACTGCAGGTGGACAATGAATCGATCTAAGATATCCCCAACGTCAACTTGCCGATGCGTGGGGCCTACGAACCTACCGACTGTTGGACTTCTTTGCCTTGGGGTTAGGGAAGATCCGGCGAAATCAAATGGTCAACGATCTCGTTGATTGAAAGAATATGGTGCAAAGCTTTGCGTATGTATAATAATGGACCTCCTTACGTCTTATCGAGGTGCCAGCTCTGCCTCATTTCCTCTACACATCCATTGACCTCGTCATCGCTCTCTTTCCACTTCAGGGAAGAATTAACCCTTATATGGGTTAATTCTTATATGGGTTATAGTCTTGAGAATTATTTTATAATTGACAGGAGATTACTCATGAAGTTAAAATTAGAAAATAGATTTATTTTGGATTTTTTTAGAAAATTTATGAAGACATTTATTCAGCCATTTTTCAGTAATATATAAATTATCAAAATAATGAGAACAAAATGCAGCGATTCATGGCGGCCACATAACTGGGAGGACGAGTCATGGACCAAGTCAGCATTTTTGGGCCACGTTCAACAATTACTGCCACGTCGTTCATGCACACGTCAAACATTGGGCGCTTGCGAGTTCGATTTCTCTTTTAGTTGCGTTTCATTTTGGTTCCTTCTTAATTCTTCGTTGGGTGACAGTCAGAAGACGATATTAAGGCCTTAATTCCTTTTTTTTCACCGCGTTTTAGACGATTTCGCATTCATGGTACTCTGTTTTCGGGTGACAGACGAGCGAAGCGACGGACGGTGATTGCGAATTAGATTTCCCTTTTGATTCGATTTTATTTTCGTTTTAGATTATTTCAACTTCTGGGTGACAGTCAGACGACGAGATTAAGCATTTTAAGCCGTATTTTTATCACGTTTTAATCTCTTTTCTGTTCCATTTTCTACCGGGACGACACTCTGTTCCTCAGTGACAGACATGGACGAGTTCCTCGATTAATTTCATTTTTTTAGTTCTTCTGATTGATATTTTAGGGATTCTAATGAAATGTAACTTGCTTAAGATCGTTCAAATAAATTTATTTTCATAGTTTAGACGTGTTTTATACGGATTTGAATCGAAATTGTTTTCCCGTTTCACCGCCGGCGGTCGTATTTTCTCCTTCCTGTCCTGTTTTTCCCGATTTTAGGTATATTTTCCATCATTTAATTTTCTTTTATTTTTGCGATTTTCTCTGCCATTTTCTCTCGAAAATTTTGCAGCTCTCGAGTCACTTATCAATGCTGAACTTGGGAAAACATCAAAATTCGAAGATTTAGAGCTCAAGCAATTTGGAAGAGTTAAAGTGCGGAGAAGATTATTTTATTTAGTTATTATTTGTTATTTATTTTTATTTCACTAAATTGTTTTGAACGAAAGAAATTCATATCCAGATTGACCATCATCCCTGTGGACGACCGAAATTTAATTTTAATTCGGTTTATAAATATTTATTTTTTTATCATTTTCTTTACGATGTCCAAAGTGATATCAAACGGTAGAAGACGATCTCTTCCGTTTTGCATCAAATTCCGTTGCGCAAGAAGAGGGAAACGAGAATGCTCCGATCTCAACGTACATTTCAGCTGACGTTTCCTCCAGATTATACCAGCCTAAGACATGCTCATCGACCTGCCTCTATCTCGAGGATTGTATGGTTCTTACTGCTTAAATCCGCCGTTGATTGCTCGTGGTCTAACAGACTCTCCGCCTCCTCCGGGGTGTCCCTTGGAACCGAATAGTACGCACGGGATGGCCCCAGTAACTGCAGAGCTATCGAAACCTCTTTCATGGTCGGACGATCCGCCCCCTTCACGCTTAGGCAGCGACCTGCGAGCTCAGCGATCTCCCTCAGCCTCTCCGCATCACCTTCCGCCGTCACTTGTGGATCCAAAATGTTCTCCAGCTTCTCTTCGCTCAACAAGGAGCCGAAGGTCAGGGCGAGGCCTCTCTTGTCTACCGGTCCCTGGAGGTCGAGAGGTTTCCTTCCCGTCAGAAGCTCGACGAGGACCACCCCGAAGCTGTACACGTCGCTTTTCTCGCTGAATTGGTAGGTCTGCAGGTACTCGGGATCGAGGTACCCCCAGGTCCCCTGAACCACGCTGGCGATCTCCGCTTCATCCACAGGTGCGAAATCAGAAGCCCCGAAATCGGAGATCTTTGCTCTGTGGTTCTCCTCTAGCAGTATGTTAGAGGTCTTGACGTCCTTGTGAAGAATTGGAGGGGAAGCGTAGGAGTGCAGGTATGCCAGCGCTTCTGCGACCTCTGTGGCGATCCTCAGCCTGACCCCCAGGGAGATCGTTGTCCTCTCATTCCGGCGATGAATGACGCTAAACAGCGTACCTCCGGGGACGAACTCGTAGACGAGCATGGGAACTTCCACTTCTACGCAGCAACCCAGAATCTTCACCACGTTGACGTGGTTGATTTGGGAGAGGATGGCCATCTCCCGTGCGAACTCCTTGCTCTCCCTCTCGTCCATCATTTTGGATTTCTTGATGGCCACCAGGGTGTCATCTTCCATCCTTCCCAGGTAGACCACGCCGTGGCCTCCTCGCCCGATGATCTGGTCGTCAGCGAAGCCAGACGTGGCCTTGGCGAGATCCTCTTCCGTGAATATCCTGAACGTATTTCCCGGCTGGGAAGAGATATACTGCTGCAGTAGCGGGCCGCCGTTGTGCTCGAACATCTTCTGTCTGAATTCGGCAACCTTCCTCATCTGATCGGCGAGGTTTCTTCTCTGACATCCCCAGCAGGTAAAGGCGCTTGCAGACAGAAGAACGAGCAAGCCGCCGCCGACCCCTGCAAAAGCTAGATCTCAGTGAGGATATGCTCCAAAATGAATGGAAATGAGACCGTCGCTCGGAAGAGTGAAAGGATTCTCCTGACCGAGTCCCAACTTCACAGGCAACGACATGTCGCCGCTCCTTGATTTGCATTCGTAGCTTCCGTCTGTGTTGTCGCAGTACTCGCCGGGTGAACATGGGTTTCGCTCGCATTCGTTAATATCTGCATTCGCATGGATACGACAAGTCCCAGCGGGGAAATATGAGTCAAATAG